GCGATTTTTCTGAAGAAGTTAATTAAGGTAGGCCTTTTTATTTAAAATTCCGTCTAACAATTCTCCCTGTAACATTCACTTCCGTACTATTAATTACCTGAGCTATTCGACCGATATTTTTGATTTCTTAGTACCTGTCAGGGTAACGAATTGTATTTAAATCCGGGGCGTTAGTGCCCTTCAACCATTTTCGCGTTAACCAAGGGATGATAGTGGTATTCGCTTGCTATCCCTGTCGAGAGTCGCAACTGTTTCTGTTTTGTAGAAGCTATGGATTGCCAGATGTCTACATAAGAGAAATTTGAAACCGAATAAATAAAATAAAAATTCTCAAAGTATTGGTCGAATAATATCGCTTTAAGACACCCGTTATTTGGTCTATTGTGCCTAGTAAAATAATATTGCGGGGAGGACATTAGGCGTCGTTCTTACAAAGGCAAACGTCATTTTTTTTTCTCTCATGAGTGGAGGGTGATACTGTTCACCACCGTTGGCAGATTACCGATATTTTTTATTACTGAGAGTAGCTTATTAATTTTTTTTTATTTTTAAAACGTATAGTTTAAATCATATTTAGTTTTACTATTGTAGATTTTTTTCTTATGGCTAAAACCGGCCGTTTTCATTAATAGCAAGGAATTTGTGCTAAGGGTGTTAGTGCCCACCGTTTTAATTTTTTTTAAAGGGAAAATTGTTATTTTTATTTTCTTATGGGTATAGTATAGGTCATAGTTAATTTTACCGTTTTATCATTTTCTGTAAATACCGAGACCTTTTATTTTATCAACATACATGATTCTGCATTTATTTTATTACCGTTATTAAACAGATATATATATATATATATATATATATATATATATATATATATATATATATATATATATATATATATATATATATATATATACATACCGATTTCACCCCATTTATTTTATTTTTAATTATTTCATTTATTTTGTAAATATATTTTTGATTGAAATTCCTGAGTTTAATTTTGAATTACGCCTTTGCTTTTTCCGTTTTCAGGGCGTAGTGATTAATAGGTAAAAGTGCAGTGAAAAACTTTATTTACTTTACTACCCCAGTGTAGGTCAACTTAACAGCGAAGGTCTATCCGTTTTATTTTTTTTGTTTGTACCTGGACTCCACTGAGTCTACTGAGGGTGTACTCTACGTGCACCCCAGGGCCGCAGAGCAAACTGCGATATCAAAACTGGCGCCTGAGCAACCCCTATTCGGGAATTACATTCATAGCGCCACAGACTCGCTGAAGCACTGTAGGTGAATCAGGAGACTTGTCACAACTCGTAAAGAAAGTTCTAGCAGCAGACCGTCAAGAGCTTTGGAAAAACTGTGTTGAACATGTTATCAAAGGAGAAGATGAGTATGTAGTATTACCCTCTTTACAACCCATCATAATTCAATCAAATGATGACTCTAGTTCAGAGGATTCAGGCTGCCATGATTATTTATAAAGATACTTTAAAATTGAATTGTTTTTTTTTTCTTTTGTTTTATTTGCAAAGAATTCATTTTCCTTTATGGTTTTTTCTTTGAAATTTCGTTTTCCAGAAAAAGAACGAATGGGGTACAAAAAGGGTTCAGTTCACGTCTGGTACCCTGTTTAAACCAAACGCCCTTACAGGAAGGTACACTTTACTCGCTTGTTTACGTTTTATAATTTAATATTCAGTTGTAGCAAGTTAACGAGCTATAATGATTTTTTTTTTAAGTTCAAGTAAGATTAAAATTAAGTGCATCTGTCTAAATAAGGGCGTATAATAACGTCCAATTTATATTTATTCGATTTCCTTTTAACGAATACTTTCTTGCATATGATATATATTAAAAGTATTATTAAAATAAATTTATAAAATGAGGTAGGTATCTACGCCTTTGGCAGATCAAACAAAATTGTCAGTAAAGGTTCCGAACGAGTTTTTATGATCTGCAATTGATAATGGAAGAACTAATCCATTCTGCTTCTTCTTGCCCACTGGTAAAAGTGTATTTAATACGGCGCTCTCCTTTTTCTCGTGCTGTTTAAAAATGACAAGCATTTTTGAACAGATACGTCAGGTTACTCTGAAAACCTTCCTTGTATAAATAATCAAAAGCAAGGCAACATAAAAATAACATATTAGTTCTCTATGCATTCCAAAGTTTGCAATACTTAATTTAATTAAATAAAAAGCATGTTTCAATCACATAAAAAATAATAGACATACACAATACAAAAGTTATTTTTAGAATCCACTTATCACACCAATAATTTCCTTAGCAACAAGCTTTGAACTTCGCGAAAAACAAGTAATACAAATTAAAAATTAAAAAAAAACCGACTTCAAAAACGTGCAGATGCCATCACTACATTTTAACCAAATTTATATGGGACCACCCCTAAGGTACCCCCTTACTAACAAAAAAAGAATCGTATAAATCGAAATCGGACAAGGTGGTAAAGCATTATCGCTTAACATACATAAAAAATGAAGACTTTGAGGATTTTCTCATGGATCCAATTATTAGATTTTGACCAAATTTATATGGAACTACCCCTAAAGTATCCCCTTTCTGACAAAAAAAGAATTATTGAAATCGGACACCGTGTTAAAAAATTATCGCTGAACATACATAAAAAATGAAGAGTTCGAGGATTTTCTCATGGACCCAATTACTAGATTTTGACTAAATTTATATGGGACCACCCCTGAAATACCCCCTTTCTAACAAAAAAAGAATCATTGAAATCGGACACTGTGTTAAAGAATAATCGTTGAACATACATAAAAAAAAAAATATCGCGACGAATTGATAACCTCCTTTTTTGAAGTCGGTTAAAAATTCGAATAATAACAAGAACCGTTAAAACCGTTAAAATAACAGATTTCTCTTGTTGTCTCTCTCGCTACCGATGTTCTATCGGCCAATAAAAATTTAACACGACCAAGTCAGGCCAAAGCTCGTCAAGTGCAGGCCAGTGCAGGGACTTGGTTAAATTTAGCATAGAAAAATAAAAAGAGAAGGTTTGAATAAATGGCGGGACTTGTTTCCTTATTGGTAGTTGAACCGTAAGCGCTTAGCGCGCTGCTATCACTAAATTTAAACTCGTTTAACACCCATACAAAAAGATGTTTTCAAAAATAATGCACAAAGAAATCAATAATTTTACTGATTTACCTCTTTAAATTTCACTTTAATATAATGTCTGATCAAATACAGGGAAATCGTTAATAAATTTAAAGTTAAAGCTAAATTTAAATATTATTAGATGGTGTAAATATGGATTTAAAAATAAATTAGGTTATGTTGCTATAAATATGTTAGCCTGATATTATTTTTATTTTCAAATGTAGGTGAGTAAATTGTATTAATTAAGTGTAAGTTAGATTTAACTATACGGATGTTCTTAAGAAAATCATTAACTTCTGATTCATTTAAATTTTAATTTCAGAAGTAAGTATTTTTCTCACAAAACTAACAAGAAATTTTATGTTTTTCCTGCTATTATTACTCTTAGTCTTAGAGATAAATGGATCCATATTTTAAACATTTGTGGTCAAAAAAATGAAAGGAGTTGTGAGCGAAATGTGTGAAGCCAATTTACAAACAAATATTGTAGAACCCGAGCTAGAACCTCATCCTAGTTTAACTCATAAAGACAATGATGAGAAAATTCGAATGATTTGTGCTTAAAAAGATATTGTTCAATTTTTGGGTGATATTCATTATTATATTTATCAAATAATACCCAAATATGTTCAAAAACTTATATGCTATTTAAGTCAACTTGTTAATTTTTGCATAGTTCACCTATTAAGATCATAAATCAGATGTTTTCTATTTTTATTGAAATTTCTATACCTTTTATTGCAAGAAAAATGTAAGAATTTAAAAAAGTAATGACTCGTGTTAATTTTTAATTTTAAGATACACACTGCACCTTTATTTTTGTTTTGTTTTAGATATTCATGGGTATGGAGATTTTTAAAATGTGCATAAATGTGTTTCTTAATTAGGGTGAGTTTCAAAGCCCACCTGTATTAAAGCTGGAGGCTTATTGTACTCGAAATAGGCATTACAACTATTCTAGATTGAAATAGATGGGAAAATACCTTAAAAGGACAATAAGTACAAGAATATTAGAATTAGAATGATTTGTCCTTGGATTAATAAGGGATATTTAAAACATTAAAACAATTGTGTTTATAAATTAACTACTTTGACTTTTTATAAAAACTATATCCGGATTTTTAAAAATAAAAACATTGTCATGTGCTATCTTGTTATCATATTATAATTTTATTTTTCAGTCATTTAGTGTGTGATATAGTGCTTGTTATGTTCAAAATATTCAGTTAGAAGATAATGAGACACATGTAATTACATGGTGGTAAAAATGTGTTTTATTTTTAACTAATTTTATTTTTTAGTTAAAAAATGTAATATTTTCCATTTTTCAACATTTACCTACAACAAAAATTCACTAAACTTATTGTTTGTTTATTAGTTGTAAGTGAAAGTTGTCAAATAGGAAAATGTTACTTCGAAATGCTTCAAATATTTAAATTATCAAGCCCGCCAATTCTTAAATCGCTTTAATAAGTAGTGTTATGTATAACTAGTAGATTAAGTACAGTATTTACAAATGTTAAAGTTTATCAAGAATTAAATAAAGACGTTAAAGGAAAGTACATTTTTAATTTCAACATCACTGAAGGTACATGGAAAATTCAGAATTCATTTTTTACACGAAGAGTCCATACCCATAACAACTTCCCCAATTTCTTAATTTAACCTATTTTTTTATATTTCAGAAACTTTACATAGTGTAAGTCATTAAAAAATATTCCTATCGATGGTTTGATTGTTTTTTTTTAAGGAAATTGATGCAGATAATTTTTTATACAAGATACTTTTTTCTTGTGTGGAAGAATAAAACGGGAATTATCTCCAGCTTCCAGACTAATATTTGTGTTAACAGAAAACTATTTTACTCACCTGTATAACATTCTTTCTTGCCTATCGGCCTCCACGTATATCCTATAATACATGAGAATCATCACCATTCCGGGCACCCAGAAACTGACGCTCGACGATATCACCGAATAAGTTCTATTCACTGTAAACGAGCAGATATGAGGATTTTTCCTGCGGAATTCCAAATGTTCAGGCGTTGTATACCATTCCATAAAAATCGGCAGGAATGATACGAGCGCCGGTGAACACCATACTACGGCCAGCATTAATACTAGACGAATGTTGGTCATTATAAGTGGATAGTCCAGGGGTTGCACTATTGCGTAGTATCTGAAATAAATATATTGATATGGTGTAAAATGAACAAAAATTAAATTTAAAGTTTTTTTGAATAGTTTTTGAGGCGATAATAATAATTTTCCTAGGAAAATGTTACAGAATAGCCAAAACTTACTTAAGATTTATGGATATTTTGTTAATTGTTATAGATACAAGGTTGATTGAGTGGGGAAAAAAGATGAGCGTTTTCAAAACAAAGAAGCCTGCATCAAATAACATGTGAAAATGTCTCTCAGCTAATTTTTATAATTTTTCTTCGCTAGTCCCTAATACAATTACATTGTAGTTTCCTTGAAACATACTCATCAGCACGTTTTTGTTCTAGAGTAAACAAAATGCCCCAGATTTACTGCTGCTAATCGTATACCAAACCTTCTTACATAATTCCTTTTTTGTGCTTGTCAGCAATGGATTAAATTATATTTTAAAGTGAATAGTGATTTAAAAATTAATAATGCTTAAACAAGCGCATTTTTCTCCAGACCGGGATAAAAATATTGCAAAAAAAGTTGATAAGACAGTTAGGTGAAATGCAGGAATAAAATTTGAGCCCAGTGTATAAAGGTGTTAAGTAACATTTTGAAGGTAATATTACATCACATATATTTGTTTTAACTCTTATCAATGATAAATTATAAAAATAAAGTGCATGAAGGAGTTAAGTACACAATGCATGAACTTTTCTCAATAAATGAAAGGTAGGTTTGTGTGCGTAATTTTATTTCAGATGAAGAATACGTTCCCCCAACAGATATTTTGACCAGCAGTAGGAATATGAACCTAATGAAAAATTAAGATCACAGTTCTCAACAGCAAAGAAAATGACACTTATGACACAGCTTGGTTTCAACTCATGTGACTGCAAGGAATGAACCGAATTTTAATAATATAGTTGCCAAGGTGCAACCTTTTTAAATGGAGAGAAACAGTGAGAAAAAGAAACAGTCAAGAAAAATAAAAAGAGATGAAACGAGTTGGAAGTATAAGCAATTAGCTGCTGCACGTGCTCATGGTGAGGAATATATTTCATATAAAGGAACGGTAGTTCCAGGAAAAAACGTAAAGCTTGAGTTACTGTGTACTGAAACGTGCAGATTTAAGTGACAAAAGATTGATGCCGTAAAATACATTCCAGGTTTTATCGGTTGGACATTAATGCCAAAAATGTGCTACTGTTTAAAAGTATTGAAAAGTGCACAATACAGCGGCAACGTACCAGTGCAACTTAGCACAAAATTTAATTTTACAAATTTAAAATTACATGTAAGGAAATTACATACCAAATTTGTAAGTCTGCTATAAGTATAATTACTCCAAAAACAAGTAAAAGCGGGCAAATAAGCACCTTCTTCTTATTCACGGGGTAATCATTATATCAGACCCCATAGGATTGAAGACGAAGTAATATACTTTGTGAAAGCACATATTCAGTCATTTTCAGCGCAACAGTCCCATTTTGTTTTTCTCCTGGGCTCGTCTGACTATGTCTTCGAATAACACTGAAGCCTATTGGCTTATTGTGTTTTACCTCATGTTAGTTTATAGCACGCACTCTGTCACCTTTGTACCTTGTACAAGTCTGTACAGATCCTTGGGTGAGTGGGTTTTATACATTGTTGGATCAACTTGGTGTTGTCCAAAAAGAGCCTGTCTTTTGCGATCTAGATCTTCGCATTCCCCAGTATGTGTTTGGCCGTTTCTAGTTTCTTGTGACATAGTCAGCACATGAGTTCCCCATTTTACATGCCAATTTTGTTTAAGTGTCCCTTTACTGGGGCGTGCCCAGTCATGAACCCTGTTATCACTTTCTACTGGTTCCTATTCATAAAGAGTAGTTCTCCAGTTTTTTTGGGACATGGTCTGCCCAGGGGCGGTTTCTCCATTGGTTCATTTGTGCAGTGAACACCCAGTTAAATTTCATAAAAACACATTATTTTAATATTACATAAATAATATAAAAATATAAATTTAATTTTAATATTTTTATTTTCATACGTGTTAATCTATAGTTTTTTGGACATCATTGTCCTTTGGCTGATCGCGTCTCTGTATATTTAAGTATACTGTGTCTGTGGCGCATTATGATGAGTGAGCCTAACACGAGTGAGACGATATGCCAAATACATAAAGCTAAAAGGAGAAGACAACACGCCAACAGATCCTTCAAACTGTCAAATAAGACATTAATTGGCGCACAGCTCACAAACAAGGTTGCCAAACCAATGTTGCCAGTCTAGTACAATTCACAATTGTACTAGATGTAGTACTTTCTGCGTGCATCAGTGTTCACGTGTAAACTGTGTATATATACTGTGTTCCTTGTTTAGGTTCATTATCAATAAAGACCCCCTTTTTTTCTCTTTAATGAATTTAGATGTTACTGCAAATAGAATTCGAAAAATTTGGTACATTTAAGGAATCTAGTACATTTTTAGACAAATCTAATACATAACAAAAACATATTCTGGCAACACTGTACCCTGTACCAAATCAAGCAAACTGTCACCGTCATTAGTGTCATTTCATTCCTTTTTAAAAAAACAAGATTATTAATTGTTCTTATTTAAAAAAATGTGTTTAATTAAGAACTGTATCTTCAATAAATTGAAAGTGTTATTACGAAAAACTTCTATAAGGCAAGGTAAATTAAAATTTTTAAGGTTATGTTGATTTTTTTTACATACAACTAATTTCTTTCAGTGTGCTACGTTGTCCCAAGGTTTGCAGCTCTTCTCACTTGAAATAAGAGTGACTAGCTCAATTAATTTTATTTACAATAATCGGAGAGATAGGGTCATGTAAAGATAAAAGTATTGTTTAACCTCTTAATACTCAAGAAACTGGTCAGTCGTCTAATTAGCAAAGTGGAACAAATCCAGCAAATGTATTATAATATTAAAATGACTTCGGTGCCCGTTTCGTACCAATCGATCACAAGGTAAGTACGAATAAGTGTATAAGAGCATAAATTTAATAATACTGAAAATTACCTAAATCTTATACTATATACAATAAACTTACGTTATTTATCTAATATACATTTTATTTTAGGCTCTATGAGAAACTAAATAAGCTATGCCAAAACAGCCAACAAAAATAAGGGTAGATAAAATGCAATACCCACTTAGATTTTCTAAACTAAAACTATTCGATAGTTAGAATGCGAAACAGCTTTAATGTAATAAGGTAATAATACTAAAGGTTATGATTTATATACAAGATAATAGTACGACAATGATGTTATTAAATATATGTACAGAAAGGTGATGCTCGGTAATGTTTTTAGCAATAATATATACACAAGGAAGCTAAGCGTGGCTAAATTAGAGCTCAGGCAATGAAGTAGGCAATGGAACGTTCTTACTTGTTCTGTGGTTTTCTGATGATCTACCATCCAGGGGTTGTTCTCGTCAGAGTTATCAATCGGTTACTAAGGGATGGGTCAACAAGCTAAGCAGGAAGCGGTGAACTATAGTAAGGGTTACTTCCTTTACTGGAACCGCTAAGCCAAGCACTGACGATAGTGTGTCCAAATTAAATAATAGCTACTAAATACTACAGGAGTGGCACAAGAAGCTCTACATAATGGATACAAACAAAAAGGCCGCAGATGTTAGTTAGGTGGCCTTCGAAAGAAAAGTAATATTTCCACAACAAGGTGCTGTCTATAATGACAAATATACTTTAAAGGTAAACTTTCTCTTTATATTATTAGCCAAATAATCCGAATAAAATTCGTGAATTTTCAGGTACCACATGAACCAAAGAAAGCTAATTGAAAAGGAACAGAAGAGGAAGGAAGTTCTTCAGCCAGAAAGACAATCTGGGGTTGCCAACAAATTACCATATTTTAGGAGCAAATGACCTTGGCCTTGAACTTCAATTTGAATAAATGAAAGTGAATGTAGATTTTAGCAAAGAAGAAGTAATTTGGAGTTTGAACAATTGCAATTAGATTCATAAAAGAGAAGAAGGAAGGTTAAGGTCGACAATTGATATCAAACTGTTTTGTTACGTTCAGGTACAGGTTATAGAAAATTAATATGCATAATTTGAATAATCTTGTGTTTTCTTTTATTGACAGGTAAGCTTATTATTAAATTCTTTAAATTTTATATAAATATTGCAACGATAAAATGCGAACTGTAACAAGTGTCTACGACCATCCAAAAACTACTTCAAAATGGCACTTAACAAGTCATATCTCACATATCTACATGATCTGGCTAATGAATCCTATAAGTACATATCAAAACATTAAAATACTATCTAAAATTAAACAATAATTTGAAAATACAGATGAAGCCGATTTACCTAGCAATATGAATTTTTTAGTAAAAATTAAGCTTTATAAGAAGATAAAGCCTATTGATACTGAAAAAAATATGAATATATTGGGGAGTTAAGGGGGGTTAAAATATAAAAAAATCCTAACTGAAAAACTTGAAATTTTTAGCAAACATCAATCTCTAAAAGGAGAAGAAGCCCTTTCATTATAAAAACAAATCTGATTAAATATGGGGGATTTAAGGGAGGTTGAAATTAAAAAAAAATAACAAAAATAAAGAGATATAAACATGAAATTTTTAGTGAAAATCAAGGTCTATATGGAGATGAGGCCTATTGATTGTGAAAACAATCTGCTTAAAAATGGGGGTTAAGAGGGTCTGTTAAACTGAGAAGAGCATCATTTAAAACGACAGGCATTATACATATTTATTCTAGTTTGTGTCTGTGTAATATTATGTACTGTGATATGGTACTGATCTTATAAAATAAACATTTAAAACATTTTAGTTCTTATTTTATTTGCCAATAAAAGGTATTTAAAAAATATATTTTTTATTTGACATCTGTGACAAATTGTGAAAATGATTAAACTTACAATAAAAACTAAAAAATGGTAGGTAAAGTTTCATATAAAATTTTTTACACAAAAATCAATTTCAAGCTTTCTACATAACCTCAAATTATGAAGAAAAATAATGTTT